AAAAAAGTCCAGAAGCTGAATTTACCTGGCCACAGTCCAGAACTCTCACCAATTGAAAGCATTTGACAAATTATGAAACAAAAACAAAAAATCCAGCTAAGAAAATCCAGAGCAGTTGAACAGCTAGAATCTCAAAACAGACAAGAATGGGACAACTTTCCCCTCCACAGACTCAAGCATTCAGCCCCTTCAGTTCTCAGGAATTCAATGAGTGTTGTTAAAAGAAGAGGGGATGCTTCACATTGGGAGTTGGGATCATTTGTGAATGGCCGGTCACTCAATCAGTTGATCAACTAAAAACGAGTATTTACTATTTCACAAAAGTTAAATCATTCAAGATATTCCCCTGCTCCACATACACACAAATAAGAGAATGAATGATTTTCCAACATGCCTTCATTGTAAGCTGAGAGCCTCAGAGGGAAACCTGCAGCACCTCCATGTAAAAGCCAGTCCATTCATGGCCCCTCACAGCATGATGCAGCCATCTGGATTATTTTCTACTCTGGAATGGCAGCTCTCAAGGCCCATCTGTACTGGAGTGGTACTCACAGCGGGCCAGGGGAATGAGCTTGTCTGGAACGAGATGTAGTAGATTTAAAAGATGACGCCACAGTGCCATAAATTATTTCCCCCTATACACTGGAGCGTGTCATTTTAACAACAACTTTATTTTCCTTTTAGTGCCAGGGTCAGTCATGGTCTGTTATATTTCATGCACCAGCAAAAACCTTTAATCACTCAATCTTTGCCGTTTAGTAGTTATTTGGGTTGCAATAAACTTTCTTTTAAACCTCATAACTCCTAAAGCTTTTGATACCGAACATTTACCAAAGCAGAAGTTTTGTGTTTTTAGTGCAAAACTCCTAAATAATCCACGTTGCAAAGTTGTAAATCCAGACGGGAACCTGGCTGCATGCATTACTGCCAGTCAAGAATCTGGGGTGAAAGCTAAAGCCTATTAGTTGTTTGGTTACCATGGCAGCTGATTTTAAACCCTCTCAAGAGTAGACAGAAAAAGGTCAGAGGCCAAATCTCTGATAAGCAATGTATGTGTTACCCCAGACTTTCTTGGATGAGTCGTTCACAAGCTGGTACAGAAAAAACAGGTGACCTCCTATGGTGAAAATGATGAAAGACAAACAAAACTTAAAATGATCTTTCACAGACTGGCAACTTTGTTTTGTTTTTACATAGTAAAACATCGGTTATTAACTGAAAAGTCCATTAGACACAGTTTTTTTTTATATTCAGAGCATTTAGGGAAAGTCGCTCATGCAGAGAAATGACAAGTTCATAAAGGTTTGCACTAAATATGCAACTGATTAACTCGTGAGGTTTCGTTAAACACAAAATTTCAATCACTCAAACATAATTTATGTCATAGTCTGGTGACTCAAGAATTCTGTTCGGTAAGAAAGAAGCAAAGTAAAAACAGTAAAGTTTGTTTAATGTCTCTTCAATGTAGATTTAATAATTACTCAGAAGAAAACAGCAGATCAAAACCATCAAATTGAAAGAATAACATTAACAGTCTGCTTTTCATATTCTCTGCACATGGAAGTTAAATATGATGGAGATTGAAGGTTTAAATGTTCACATATGCATTTGTAATGCCTATAAAACTTGTTCCCTGTCCTTTTGAGGCTCTAACAAATAACCTTTTCAGGAGGCAATATATACAGCACACTAGTCTCTCATGTGCAGATGTATTTCCAGGCTTTCCCCTGAATATTGAAAGCTAAACTACTTTAAATCACATCTCAGAGGCCTCCCGTGTATTTTTATTGAGTAACAGAAGCATTACTTTTCAATTACCCGTTTGTCTTCTGCTGTTGCTGGTTGAAAACGTACATTTCAAATGCACAAATGCAACAAATGTTATATAGTGTTATACAGCTCTGCCTTCAGGATAAAACTATACCAGTAACACACACGCACATCAGAAACTCAAAAGTGAGTTCATCTCCTGGTAAAAGCTGCTGTTTTGCTGCGGTTTGCTGTGAATTTTCCATATCCATGCTCATTAGAAGAGCTGGGGTATTGACATGTCCCAAAATGTCCATATCAGGTAGGCAGTGTCTCCCAGTGGCGGTTTATAAAACTGTGCGTAGAAAAGAAGAGAACTTGGTCAACTGAAAAACCTTCTTTTGGTGCTTCTTTGTCCAATCAGCAGCTTTGGGGTTTCTCATTGGATGAAAAGGAGCTGTTACTCAAACCCCCGAAAAATGTCCTCTTTGTAAAGCTCACAAATCGTTTAGGAGCCTGAGAATGAAGGATCTCAAAGAAAACCCTGATATAAAGCAAGAATAACACAGAGACATACATACTAGAAAGGTTTTGTGCTCAGTTGATTGTTTGAATTATTTCACATGTAATAAAAATACTTTTTCCTAAGTAATAATAGTCAGCTAAATGTTGCTCAGATATAGCTTTTGGATACTTGTTTATTTTACCTATGCCATCTAAATTACTTAAAAGTATTAGTTACACACATCATTTAGATAAAAAAACATTTATATTAAGTTAGATGCAAAACACTTTAAACTCTGCAAACTTTCAAATATGCAAATCCATTTTTATAGAAACTTAATTAAAACATCTGCCTCCAATTTTTTTAAATAAACACTTGTAAATTTACTTCTACAGAGAGCAATATCAAAATATGCATATATGACATTATACAGCTTTACAAAGACAAAATGCTTAAAGTAATTAATTAATTTAGATATAGACAGACAGACAGACAGACAGACAGTAGATAGATAGATAGATAGATAGATAGATAGATAGATAGATAGATAG